GGGAGAGGAAGAAGCAGGCTCCCTGCTGAGCAGAGAGCCCGATGCGGGGCTCGATCCCAGGACCCTGGGATCATGACCTGAGCTGAAGGCAGAGGCTTTAACCCACCGAGCCACCCAGGTGCCCCACACGCCCCAACTTCTTCAGCGACGGTATTCCACCCTTATAATCATGTCCATCAGAAAGGCAAACTACACAAGTTTCACAATTATCATCCGAAGCCTATCCCACCCATTCGTGCTTTCCTCTCGAGTCCGCAGCGCCCACTAAATACTGGCTTCCCCCCTAGTGAATGACACACTTTCCTTACGAAAACGGTAGGACCTTCATACACAATACGGGAACTATCTCGTCTTCAACTGGGGAAACCACTTTGGGTTCTGTTCCGACCGCTTCCCTGCCTCTCTGCAGAAGTTCCCCTCCCGAGCCTCCGAGCTTCCAGACGACAGCCACCACCGAACGCAGGTTCGAGTGGCCTGGCGGAAGCCGTCCGGATCTCGCGAGATACGCGGCTGCGCGGAAGTTCTCGAGTCCCGCGAAGAGGTGGTGGAGCCGGACTCTGGGATGGAGCGCTTCCGCAAAGATGGCGGCCGCTGCGGCAAGAGGCGCCTGGCTGGCGGCCTGGGGCGGAAGACTGCGGCGCGGGATCACTGCCGGCCGGCGAGCTTTGCCAGGCCCCGGCCCCGGCCCCTTGACTGCGGCAGTGGCCGGTGTGGCCCTCGCAGGCACAGGAGTGGCATGGTACCATGGCCGCATGAATGTCGTGGCACCCGAGGGCAGCCTCACCGTCTTAGCACAGGTATGGGACCTGTCCTTTTCTCCCCCCTAACCAAGCTTCTCCGTCCTCAGACTCCGGGTGGTGGAGGGCGAGGGTCTGGAGCGGGCGGCCCCAGCTCCTCTTCCTGAGCCCAGGTAGGGGCATCGCTGCAGAAGACCCTAGACAGGTGGTAAGTGTTCCTTCCTCAACTCGACTCCCACGGCGCGCCCAGAGGGCATTGGAGGCCAGTGCAGGAGATTGAGCCTCCCTTGGGAGGATCCCGCGAACGCTGAATACACGAAGCCCACGATAACAAATTTGCGGTGATGAGTGTGGGCGTGTCTTATTTCAACACTCTTAATTTGCAGTTTTCTCGCTACACGGTGACACCCCCCCGCCCCTCCCTATTTTGGTGAAGTGGTGCACAGATCTGTAGTTGGTGTGTGTCCAGTTCCCTACCTGGGCGTACCTTTCTTAAGTACGTTTTATAACTAAAGCCTTTACGACTGGTTCTTTGTATAGTATGATGAAGTTGTCTTACTAGATGACATTTTTAATCATAAAAATGTCAATCATAAAAATTAGCCAGGTGACAGTTTCCAGATTTTATGATCAACTTTAAGGAACCTTATTACATGATTGTAAACCTTAATGCTTCAGTGGACTATGAGCACTAAGAAAAACGTTTCTTTTAAAACTTCCATGTATTAAAGGTATAAGTTCCCTACTTAGATATAAAATTGCCACGTAAAGTATTTGGAAATTTGAAAAGTACTACTTTTTACATATTTTATGGACTTTTAATTTTAACAAGTTTTAGTGTGTGTATTGTTTTGAAAATTGAAAGCACTCTTCTGTTTGTTAGGTTTACATTATACCTTTCTAATGAAAAACCCAAGCAACCGTCAGATACCCTGAAAGAGGGAAGAGGCTTTGTGAATTAAAGTTAAGCATTGACAGATGATAATATTTACTTGTATTAAATTAAGATGCCACATAGATAATACATGCAATCACTCTTTCCCATCCTTTTACCATTTCTGATCATAGGTGGAAGGATCTGTCCTGTGGTGTTTTATAGGATTTTTGTTCTTCTGGTGCCAAGGATTCAACTTATCATTGGTGCCTCTCTTTTCTCAGCCTCTTAAATCATCCTGTTTAGGACCCTTAGGTTAATCATCCCAAGTATATCACATAATGTACCCTTCTTTAGAAACCATTGTGCCTCATTTGGCCTAGGATAAAATCCACATTCAAAAATTTTGTCGTTCAAAGCCCTTAGTAGTAACACTCTGACCTATCACTACTCATATATACCTTCCAATCAAAGTGATTCACCTAGAACCTGACTTCAATTTTATCCCCTTAGCAATTTGTAGATACTGATTTCAGTTAATCTGTCTCTTTTTTTTCTGGCCCACTTCTAGCCTACTTGTGTTTTAAATTCCTGACATGACTCTAAAAATTTTACACCAGTATATTTGAATTCTCTCCAGCTCTCTCCCCTCCCCCAACCTTTAGTACTTTAGGCTTAGAAACCAGTTTATTATCCATTGGTTTTTTTGGTGGTGGTGGTTTCTTTGTTTTTTGAGAGAGGGAGCACGCATGAGCTGGGAGGAGGGAAGCGAGAGAATCTAAAGCAGCCTCCACACCCAGCAAGCAGCCGGAGACTGGGCTCAGTCTCACTACCCTGAGATCAGGACCTGAGGAAAAATCAAGAGTCAGTAGCTTAACTAACTGAGCTACCCAGGTGCCCCCCATTTTATTACCATTTTTAACAAAGTGTTTTGACACAGCATTTGCTTGATCTGCTGTTGGACTAATTCAAAACAGTGGTTCTCCTCCTTCTACCACCATAGTAGACTTGAAGATGACCACACATTGCTCTCTGCAACGGTGGCTCAATACAGCAATCATTGAGGGGCATATAGTTTGAAACTCTCCCTCCACCTCAGTGATTCTGGTAATACTTCCCTAAAAGGAGACCTGTTAATCCCTCTACCATAACCACCACTTTAGAGTCATGTGTGCATAGTTGAGAATCAATGATAGGTACATACCATTTCTTGATACAGTTTTATGTATTAGTATATTTTACTTAGTATTGCAAGGTGATAGACTCTTCCTGATACAAATTTTTAATAATAGTAGTAATGACCTTTATTTTCAATCAGGACACCAGGCCAGTTCTCCAGTAAAAATAGGGAATTTATGATCATTGAATCCTACACTTAAATGGTTCCCATTGTGACCAACAGCTTGCATTTGTGAGGGTCAGTCAGAAACAGGGTAGAAATCAAGGTCATGAAGTAGCAAGTAAATTGGAGTTTCCCTTCTTTCTTTCCTTCCCTCTGTAATTACTGAAGTGCCTACTCTCTGCCAGGCAGTATGAAAGGAGTGGGGATTTGAAACAGAGTTCAAATGCTTATGGTTTAATGGGGGAGGGCAGTTTTAATACAGATTGGTGAATGGTGTGATGGGGTAAGTTTTGGGTGCTATGGGAACACAATGGAAGAGCACCTAACAGTCTTGGTTTCATGAAGTAATAATGGGTAAATAGACACCTGTAGGATGATGGGGAGTTTGCTCCGCAAAGAGAATGGGAAGAATATTACAAGCAAAGGGTATATTGCAGAGTTCTGAAGGTAAGAGTTTGACTCAGTAGATTATGAGCTGCAAAAGATGAGGTTCAAAACTGGGGATGAGTGGTGGCAAAGAATCATCAAGAAGTGCCCCTTAAGCCATATGCCAGAAATTTTTGTCTTGAGAATAACAAGGGGACATTGTAGGGGTTCTTAACCCTCCTGTACCCCAAAAGATCCAGACATGGAATTCAGAGAGTCTATGAACTTAAATAGAAAAAGATTACTTTCTTTTTTATTAACCTATAATTTGCTATTTTCTTCAGTTATGAATTTAGGCAACAAGCTGTAGTAGTAATAATAGCATTTGTTATCAACAGAAATCTCAGATATTTTCCTATTATAATTGTTACAGATATTGCAAAGTATCACTTCTTCGAAGTCAGAGTATTTATTCAACCTGCCACTATGTAATGTTATTTAATGCATAAAGAATTACGTATATTTCTTTATCACAAATTTCGCATTGACCTTTGGAAAGAGTATCAAGACTTCAGTGAAGTCTTGAAAACTGGATGAGGGAATCTATTCTAATAATTTCAGAGAGGGATGATGATGGCTAAATTAGTGGATGAATTTGAAAGACATTTAGAAGGTAAGTTTGCAAAGAATTGGAATTGCAGATATATAAAATGTAATTATAGTGTTTTTAAAAATATGTAGTGATTTCAACTGGGCAACAAAACATTTTATTCTACAGATCCTTAGAGAATTTGCTTTGGAGCACATGAGTGTATTACTTTTTTGTAAACTTCTTCTGAAACACTTAAGAATATTTGAAAACTGTTCTAAGATTTTACTGTTACTCCCTTTACAATATTATTTTAATTGCTTCTGGCATAGTAGAATTCGATAAGAAAGGGGAAAGACAAAAGTATTATATTATTCCAATCCGTTCTTCTATAAAAGGGTAGCTGCCTTGTTCATAAACAGTGATTTAGGGGCACCTGGATGGCTCGGTCAGTTAAGCGTATGCCTTTGGCTCCCTCCAATGGAGCCCCAGCTGGTAGTCAGCTTCTCCCTCTCCTTCTACCCCTCCCCTGCTAGTATACCCACTCTCACTCTTTCTCTCAAATAAATAAATAAAATCTTTAAAAAAATGATATGTTTAAAAACATAGGTCTATTTGAGTAGTGATAGGAGTTAGGAGCTAGAGAGTTTTAGATTTGGAATGGCAAAATTACTTTCTTTCTGCAGGTATTGCAGTAACAAAAGTTTTATAGCTATTATCATATTTTGTTTTCACAAGCTAGAAATAATATATTGATAAACTACAACTGATGAAAACTAACAGATTTCCATATCACTAAGTAAATCTTCAGTGCCATATCAGATCAGACTATAAAGCTTTTTTGAACCATGAGTATTATAAATCATTGTAATAATAAGGCCTGAAACTGGCGGGGAAAAAAAGGTAAAAAGCTGTAAAGCCAAAATAAAGTGCAGTATACTTCACAGTTGACAAAACAGTAATAGTATTTTATTTATTTTATTCATTTGGTAATTGTATTAATATTTCATTTATTCTCTAAATGTTTGTATTTTTTACCTTAATTTTCAAATTGTTTATGTGATACTGGATACTGTATTTTTATCAGACTTCATAATAGGATTTTTTTGGCTTGCTTTTAATGAAAAATTTGTTTAAGAATTATATTTAAAAAGCAGGGTGGCTCAGTTGGTTAAGCAGCTGCCTTCACCTCAGGTCATGGTTCCAGGGTCCTGGGATCAAGCCCCACATCGGGCTTCCTGCTCAGCAGAGAGCCTGCTTCTCTCTCACCCTCTGCCTGCTGCTCTGCTTGCTTGTGCTTTCTTTCTCTCTGTCAAATAAATAAATAAAATCTTTAATAAAAAAAAAAAGAATTATATTTAAAAAGCAAAATTACTGGGGCTCCTGGTGGCTTTGTTGGTTGAGCATCTGACTCTTGATTTTAGCTCAGGTCATGATCTCAGGGTTCTGAGATCGAACCCCTCATTGGGCTCCACGCTCAGTGGGGAGTCTGCTTGAGATTCTCTCCCTGCCCCTCTACCACCACCACTCCACCGCATGCATGCTCATGTGCACATGTTCTCTCTCTCTCTCTCAAATGAATAAATAAATCCTCCTAAAAAGTAAAATTAATTTTGTATGACCTAGTCTGTAAAACGGTATAAATGTTTATTCTAAATAAATTCAAATATCTTATACAGGTTCATAGGTATGAGATTTATTTTTATATGTTTATTTGTGTATATTTATAAATCTTTGAAACTTTTCCCCAATAACATTGAATCAGTTTTTTTCTTTCATAGAACTTACTACTCTCCGAAGTTATTTTATCTATTTGTCTTCTCCCATTAGAATGGTCTCTTGGTCTTTTTCATCTCTGTATATTTATGGTCATGTGAAGGCAAATAATA